TCATCTTATCCAATTATTATTGGATATCAGATATCCAATGGATAAATGGATAAACGGTTTATGGATTGAAACTCTAGCGGTCGCAATTTCATTAGTAAAAATTTGAGTAAATTTTGGATCGTCGCCATTGGCCAATCAAAATCGGGAATTTCCGCGCATTTTTTTACCGATCAATCAACAAGTCAAATGAATGTGAAAAACTATGTTGTACAGCTGTTTTCAAAAAGGTTATAGTTGTTTTCAGAAAGGTGTGAACAGACGCAAATAACTATATCACGAAATTACCCAGATTTCCAAAACTTTCAAGGCCATCTCTAATTGGATCTTCAATTTTTACTAATGATAATTTCCCAATTCTTCGATTCCTCACAAAGGTATGTGGAAATCGTTGTTCATACCTCTTTGAAAACAGCTGTAAGCAAGTGTGCATCATTACATCATAGAAAATCTACACGATTTCCCTGATTTTCCTTTGATTCCCTTTATACGTAGCGATTTGCAAAAAGGTATGACCTCACGATTTTCGTAATAACCATAGTGTGGAGTTTCGGAGATTTTAAATCATTACGTATTCAATCAGTAGTATCTATATTATTTGGAAATCTATATAATTTCTCTTAGAATCGAAAAATCACCTAATTTCCCGTGATTTTGATTTTACATGATACGATGACATGCAGAGATCACATCTTCTTTTGCAAACCGCAATAATTTCCATTATTCGCAGAATCCGATTTACCACAGTATAATGGTGTATGCTTGCCTACCTTTTTGAAAACGGTTATAAAGTGAGAGCACTGCAGTGATGAGATATACAAATATCATTTTAAGTGAACATAAATAAAAATCATATGTGCCAAGGGAAAACCTACAACCGGGCTTTCAATTATATTTTGTGTACAGTTTGTCCCTAAGTGCCGTCTAGGGAAAATCTATTATCGGATTTTCAATTATATTTTGTGACAATCCATCACAAAATATAATTGAAACCCCGATAATAGATTTTCTCTAGACGGCATTTAGAGTACAAACTATACACAAAACATAATTGAAAGCCCGGTTGTAGGTTTTTCCTTGGCAGCGCTCATATGCAGATGGTTTTTTTTTTTTTTGGTAAAACTGAAAAGATCAACGGATGAGGTATCTTGATAGATACTGATTAAGCATTTCTAGAATGGGAATATTTTTATGGCACGATAGTGCCATGGCTAGGATATTATAGCAATCAAATTTAAGATCAAGTGTAACATGTAGTGTTGGAAATTATACGGTATAATATTTATTATACCATATAATTCCCAACCCTAGTAAGGGCAGTGACATTTATTACGTAATTTTCATTTACTATAGGGCTACCCCCACATAATACCAATTATGATTGGCCAATTAATTATATATCATGTGTTTATGTGTGATGTAAGATATTGCTATAGTACACATGCAGCCCCACCCCTAAAAACTTATGTAATAAATGTCAGTGCCTAACATTTAGATCAACTTTGTATGACAAGGAGAGTTTTTTAAAAAATCAATTATATTTCAAAATTTTGTTTATGAAACCACCTTTTGGGCTTTAACAAAAAAAAATTCCTTGCAAAATTTTGCCATAACCTTTTTCTAACACCTCGCCTTACCCTAATATTAAAAGACATTTATTATAAAACGCACCTATGGTGGTTTGGCACCTATTATATGTTTTTATTATGTTTAGATTTTTCTTTTTGTATATAAAATTTTTAACGCAAAAATTTTCACATTAGGGTTAGTATTTGGGGTTAGAATTAAGGTTTGGGAAGGGTTTTTGGGGTGTAGAACATTTTTACCTAGAACATCCCGCACCGATTAATTGGCTAGTTTTTGCTTTTTAGTAAAAGTTTTAAAAGAACTAAATTTTATTAGAGAATCGATTGTTACATCAATTTTGATTTACACGTTACACGATCTTATAAATTATATTTCTTAAAGTCTGAAAATTTTGGGTAAATATTACACCGAGATTTATTATATCATGTACTTACGTACGTGTGTATATACATTGGTTTTGGACAGTTCTCCGGACAATCTAGCAACCGTCTGACTTATAAATACAGTATATCCTAAAATAATAATATGAGTGCCGCCAAGGGAAAACCTAACTTCGGATTTTCAATTATATTTTGTGTACAGCTAGCCGTCTATGGAAAATATATCATAATGATAGATTTTTCATAGATGGCTAACTGTACACAAAATATAATTGAAAATCCATATAATATAAAATGATGGAATAAAATAGTGTGATTCTATACAAATCAAATCATTCTACTCTCTTGACTTCTTACACTCTGAAATGAATTACTACTTGTTGCGTCTGTTGGTTACTTTTTATATAAATGTTATATATATCCATTATATCTATCGCCATTACGTAAAATTCCTGGTCCGCCTGTTAATAATTTTATTCTTGGACATTATGCCTCTTTTTTAAATAAAGAATTAAGTGAAGCTTTTGCTCAATTAGCAAAACAATATGGTGGAATAGTTCGGTTCCATGGCTTATTGAATAAGCCTAATATATTAATTTCTGATCCAAAACTTATCCAGCAAATAATGGTAAATCATTCATATGATTATCCAAGGTTTATTTTTATGAGAGCTATAGTCAAAGAAATTATAGGTGAAGGTATTATACTTGCTAATGGGGATTCCCATAAACGACAAAGAAAAATGATGAATCCTTTATTTGCTTTTGCCAATATCAAGGTATTCTTTTATATTACACGATCCGTTAAAAAAAAATTAATCCTTATAATTATATTTAATTATTTGGCTTTTTTGTTTTTAAGGAAATGTTTCCAATGTTTGTTCAAGCTGGTCATAAATTGAAAGACATTTGGATGAAACAAATTGATAATAGGAAAGAAGAAAAAATTACCATTACTACAGTAATTTCAAAGATAACTTTAGATGTGATTGGTCTTGTTGGTATGCATTAATCTGTAATTATTCTACATGTAAGGTTTTATAAATGATGGTTCTAATCGTAATCATAATTACATTATTTTAATAGGATTTGATTACGAATTCAATTCTACTACGTCAGAGTCTGAATTGGTTCAAGCATATAATTCATTAATTAATGTTAATCCTCCGCTTTTATACTTGGCTCTTCTCGATCTCTTTCCGTTTATAAGAAAAGTTCCAAATCCTTATAAAGCTCAATTTATAAATTCAGTTAAAATAGTCAAAAATATTTCCAACAGACTAGTTTCTGAGCAAAAAAATACTTCAGTTCAGGGAAATAATTTATTGTCTTTATTGGTAAAAGCAAATGAAAAATTGCCTGTTGATGAACAATTAACACATGATGAATTAATTGGTCAGGTAAACATTTTATTCAAAATTACTAATATATATCATTTTAAAAATACATTTTTATTTAGATTTTATTTGATTTATAAATTTATTAAATTTTCAAGGTTATGACATTCTTATCTGCTGGACATGAAACCACTAGCACTGCACTAGCTTGGGCACTATACTTTCTCGCAAAAAATCCCGACATTCAGGATCGGCTTCGTAAAGAAATACTTGATGTATTTACTGATCGTGATCATTTTCCAACTTTTGATGAAATTGAACATTTGAAATATCTAGAATGTACCCTTAAAGAAACTTTAAGAATCGCTCCACCTGGTATAGTTCAGATATGCCTTTTATCTTTCATTTTTTCCATTTATTTATTTCTAATTTATTTTATCCTTATTTATTTATAATTTAAAGTGCCTGTACTTCGGCGTTATAATGTAAAAGATGAAATTATGGACGGCTATGTTATTCCAAAGGTATTTCTTAAATAACCTTCCATAGTTTAATTTGCTTGATAATATACGATATATAACTAAAATTTTGTTTTAGAAAACTCCTTTGATGATTCCTATCTATGCCATCCATCATGATCCTTTAATTTGTGGTGATGATGCTAAATGTTTTAATCCATCTCGGTGGCTTGATCCAGAAATAAAATCAAAAATAACTAATAATAATTTCTTAGCATTTGGTGCTGGGCCAACAAATTGTTTAGGGATGAAAATGGCTCAATTGGAATTTAAATCAATTTTATCTATAATTATTAGAAATTTTGAGTTTAGATTAGTTGAAGGTTTTACTTTTAAAATGAAATTTGCTGATTTAACTAAACCTATTCCTGGAATTGATTTATGGGTTTCAAAAGTGGATTATTAAATTCTTTCTCAAACCAATATAACTATTTTATTATAAATGCTTAAAACATTATAACAATATTTTATTTTATTATGATTGTATTTATCTGGCAATACTAAAATATTTTGAAGAAAAGTGAATTATGAAAACTAAATAATCTTTTTTTGTCAGAATCTATGGTCGAAGTAATTGATATAAACATAAATAAAACAATTAAAGTCGAAGAGGTAATCGATTTATTAATTCGTGCGAGCCTTAACTTAGTAGCATGGTTAAGAATCCTATGATTGGCTAAATGATAAGAAATAGAAACAATATAAATAATATAAAAAGTCATCCAATCCAATTTCGTGAATATTGTTTCTATTTCTTATCATTTAGCCAATCATAGGATTTTTAACCATGCTTAACTTAGTAACAATATTATACGTCAGTCATGATTTATGTTGATTTTAACTTAACATTAGTCAATTTAAAAATTTATACCGTGGAATATGACATACATCAAATTTAACTGCACTGATAAAACTTATTGATTGCGTAAAAAAAATGTATAAATAAAATCATTTTAATTTTTTTCGTTCAATATGATTTCAAATAATTCGCTAGTTTTCCTTTCTTTCATCTCAAATCTTTGATACAGTAAAATAGTCATTGACTTTATGGGGAATCAAGTGAAAAACATATGAATTGTTCAAAATATAATCGTTGCTTTTATACGTTTGCGAAACTCAACATGTAAACATGAAAACCCAAAGTTCAAATATTGGATTCTTTATACGTTTACAATCAATAAAGTTATAAATATTGAAGAGCCAAATATTAAAATCCGAAAATCATAATCGTAGAGGATTTTTATGGTGTAATTCGTCAAGCTCGTCAAAATACAGAACATGACGGTCAAGAAAGAACATAGCTAAAAGTAGTACTTTTAATTTAAGCTACATAAAAAAAGAACAAAAAATCGCTAATGATAATATATATGAATTTATAGAACTGACAAAAATATTACTTTATACTCCAAACAATCGTAGAAAATATTGCTCCGAAAATAACCGTGTTGTGGTAGTTCTTCGTGGTCTCCATTACCTAGTATAAGTTTATGTATTACACGACGTGCAAACAAACGATGACCCCAAGGAGAATTTCTATCCGGTAAAAGATTAGATACAATTGCTCAGCTATACAAATACTTCATTGATTTGTAGCTTTAACTGAGAAAAAAAAATAAAGCAGAGAAAGATCACACTCTCAAAAATAACCTTTTGTTCTACGTATTTTATATAGTACTTGCAATGCAATAGAACCTTGCTTAGACACTTTTTAAGCAAAAATCCACGTACCTGCTCAAGATTATAGATTTCAAGAAACGTTAAAAGAATTTAGAACTACAGTAAAACCTTCATAAGTTCACTCTCTATAAGTGCACGTCCTCTCTAAATGCATACTTAAGTTCATGCCTAAGTATATACATAACTTTTATAAATGCAGTTTTTCTTATTGTTCTCTAAGTGCACAAAGTTAAAGTTTGGTTCTAAGAGTATGCACTTACAGAGGCTTTACTGTATTATAGTTTGGGTTTGTTCATATCCAAATCTCAAACTAATATTTTAATAATCTTTATTTAAACAAATGGCTTATACAAATTATCCAAAACATTTATACCTTAGTATATTATGTTTAGAGATGTCATCAACAACAGTTCATATCAAAAAAGTTTCAAGTTGTTGTTAACTTCTGGTCTTGAGTCTTCTACTTGCTTTTGGTACCTGGTTAGTACAAGTGATTGTTAGAAAGAGTTGTCAATATTTTATATTGAAATATCAGAATAGATTAAAAATAATAAATTTGAAATAATTGTTTATAATATTATTAAAAATAATAGATTTGAATTAAATATTTATAAATATTATTTAAAAGAAAATTTATAACTTTGTAATAATATATATAATTTTTAGAAACATTAAAAAGAAAAATTTGACTGGTGCATTTAAAAAAAATTGTTTTTATATATATTTTATAATACAATATTTAACAAAAATTTTCCTGTATCTATATTTCCTTGTAGAGAGGTGCTACAACCTTGAAACTTTTCAAAAAGTTAGTACATACATACTGTAGATTAGATTGTATATTTATTTTGAAGATTTTTTTAATTACTAGAACAAATTTTAGATACATAGGAGTTAAAGATAGGATATTTTTTGTTTAAAAAATAAAAAAATTAATTAAATTCAAAAAAAAATTAATATATTGATAAGGCTTAAAGCTAAAAATTCTAAAAATTTATATATTAAAATTTGATAATTTTTGTAGTAGTATAAAAAATTTGACTTGGTTTAATGTGATAGTTATTGAGAAATTAATTTTTAAATTTTGAGTTTTATTTTTAAAAATTACAAAATATAAGTTTTTTCAATTAAAAAGATCTCAATATCTAGTAATTCAAATTTAATAATTTTGCTTTATTTGAATCGTCTTGATAAGACAATTTAAATAACATCAAACTCACAAAATTTGGACTGTTAGATCATGAGATATTCATGAAAAACATTTTGCAACACAAAAAGAATCAGGTATCAACAAATCAAATATAATAAAAATAAAATTCAAAACTTTAAAAATTAATTTCTCAATAACTATCTTATCAAATTGGGTCAAAATTTTTGGTATTACTACAGAAATTATTAAATTTTAATATACAATTTTTTTTAGAATTTTTAGCTTTAAGCCTTGATGATATATTAATTTTTTTTTTAGATTTATTTATTTTTTTTTTTATTTTTTTAAATGAAAAACATCCTAACTTTAGCTCTCATCTAAAATTTGTTCTAGTAATTAAAAAATCTTCAAAACAAATACACAATCTAATATATGTATATACCAACTTTTTGAAAAGTTTTAAGATTGTAGCATCTTTCTACAAGGAAATATAGGTGCAGAGAAACTTTTGTCAAACACTGTAAATATATAATTTAAATTCTAATTAAAAATCTTTAATATATAATTGAATTTTAAAGTAATCTAATATAGATTTAATTTAAACAAATTATTTATAAATCTTAATTTATTTTTTTCAGTTTGCTTGGTACTTTATATATGATATTAGTAACAAAAAAATATAAATTTTAAAGTATATTTTGGATATATCTAGGAGGTCTTTACTTATTTATACTAATAATATAATCTTTTAAAAAGAAAATAACTGAAAATATTTAAAAACTAGTGTTTACATTAATTTTGGTGTATTAATAAATCATAGCTAATATCTATAGCTTCTAATAGTAATATTCTAGCTCTAAATTTATGTTTTTATATAAGTTTTATATAGATAGATTATTTCATTAATAAAGAACATAACAAAAATCAGGTAATTTTTTAGAGGGAGGTGTAAAAAATTTAAAATTATATATAAAAACCTAATCAAAATATATAATAAGAAGAGGGAAGGGAGGTAAGCTTCTGATAAAAAAAATCAGATAATAAATGATACAGCTCTAATCATTTTACTGATATCTTAGTTCATTAACAAGTTTATTTTACTGACAACTATTTCAACAACAGCCCATTTTACTAACAAGTTTTGTTAAAAAATTGTATTAACCTTAACTCTAATTCTAATTTAACTCTAACAAAAATACCATTATTTGCTTAAAATTTTATTAAGTAAACCTATATTGCTCCTTAATTAAAAAAGATTAAGCTTAACAATAGCTTTATTTTGATATATAATATATCTTAAACAGATAAAAATTACAAATTCTATAATTAAAATACTTTAAAACTCTGCTGCAAAAACTGTTCTTTAATTTTGCAAAAAATTTGACATTTTTTGGGGATTTCTGTCCCTTTAGGATGCCCAAACTTGCAGATTATTATTATTAATCAATATTATTAATCAATTTATACAACTTTAGCTTCTGTTATATTTAATTTTACATAAAAACGTTTTCTTTAATTAGTTTTAATTAATTTTACACAAATCTTGCAGATCAAAACATGATCTATATCATTACACTTAGCTACACCAGCCACATCAGCCATTATCTACATATACCTATAATTATACAAAATTACACAAAGTTACATGCACAAGCCTCACTAGCCACAGTAGAATTACCCCATTTTTTTACTTTTACTTCAACTTCTAGAAAAACTTTGTTAAATTTTAATTTAAAATCAAAATGCCTACTTTAGCAAATTTTCAAGAGCCAAACTCTTATGATATCAACTACTACTATTCTAGATACAAAGACCATCATGGTGTTGATCTTAATGAAAACAAACCTTAGTACTTCATATTTTTTTAGTTGATGCAAAACCAGATTATTGTGATGATAAAAAACAAATAACACTAATTTAAAGTTCCTCTACAACTAGCAATTTCTACTTTCTTGTGTGGTAAATACCACACAAGTTTAACCTCTCAATTCTACAAAATCAATCATTCTACAACAATGGGCCAACTCCAAACACAACTACAAACTAGATCTACAATCTATACAAATAGTTTTAAAAAAACTGATGAATTACCTGCCTTACTTATTACTAAAATTCTAAACACATTTAACTTATCTCAAACCAATCTATGCATTCTTTTTCCTAACTTTCAAACTGATTGTGCATCTATAGCTATTATTGTCTACTCACACTACTACCATACTTGTATTATTTGCAAAATCAAAAATATTTTCTGTATAATTACTGAAAACCAAAACCACACTCCAGATTATACAGCTACTGCTATTTTTAAGAATACTCTAATTCATAGGACTTGTTCATCTCAACTTCTTAACATTAAACTCAAGCTTATCTCACCAACATCTTTATTCAACCTCAACCAAAAAAAGATAATTGCCTTTTATAAACTTTCTCTAATGTCTGCAAAGAACAAAGTTGAATTTTACAAAAAAATTTTTCCTAAAAAAATCAACACAAATCAATTTACTGTGAACAAAAACAAAAACAAACTTTGCGAGATACAACCAATGATATAGATTGGTTTAAAGAATATCCATTTA